CCCCAAAACCCCAAAACCCCAAAACCCCAAAACCCCAAAACCCCAGCATAAAAGATTATGATTGATACTATTAAAAGTAAAATGAACACTATTTTTCTAATAACCTTGCTCTTAGCATCATGACTTGCTCAAGAGTTCACTATTGAATCCAGCTCACAGTGCCACGAATGAGCAAACAATAATATGAAAGTTTGTAAGGGTCCATACGACCATACAAAAAGATATTGTTGAGATATGGCTGATTTGTCGTATAATTGAGGAATAGCCATGGAAGATCAGTGAACCGATCAAATCACGGATCAAGGCCCTTTCTTCGATAATGGCAAAGACTTCCTTCTTTGCGATTCCTACAATGATTGTAATGATTCAGAGTATTATGCAGAGGCCGATTCATGGTACTCCTTTTACAAAGAGTCTTTCGAACTAGGCAAAGCTTGCATTATTAGACTCTGGAACAAAGGAGATAAAAGCTCTAAAATAAAAGTTCAAGAAATTGATATATTTCATGCTGAGGTTTTCTTGTACTCCTACGACCCATCTCTAGAAAAGCCATACAAATTTGAAGGACTATTAGATGCTTACAGACACGAAGATGAATTTATCCACGCTCCAGAAAATCAAACTCTACATTTAGTTGTTGTCCCTGAAGCTTCAAACAGCAGATTTGGAATGACGTATAAGTCAATTAAAGATGAGGCAACACCAATGCCGATCTTAGCAATTGTTGGAATTATTATAGGAAGCATCTTTCTGTTAACATTACTCACTTTATGCTGTTGTTACATTGTCAGAAGGAAGAGGAATTATTCACATACTGAAGCCCAATACAGTAGCCCTAGAGCTCATTTGGATCTCACTCCAGACTCTGAATACACTTCCATTCAGTCGGATCCTAATATCAGATCAAACATGCATACTTTTCAGCAGCACTCAAGCGATATTTATGATCATTCTGATTATCCTTCTAAGGCTAAAAACACCAAAAATATTTCATACCCAAAATATCACGCAGTAAGTATAATGTCTATTTCGATCACTGAGATCTTTTTGGTAAAAGTTTGTATAGATCAACGATGAGTCAGAGTCCTTGATTGATCAGACAGCCTCTTCTGAGTAAACCCTAACTCTTCATAACAAATTGGAGGTGATAAAAGAATTTCAGTTTTTCAATAATCTCTTCAACCTATGGGGTTTTGGGGTTTTGGGGTTTTGGGGTTTTGGGG